TTTTTAAAATTTACCAAAACATATGTGTATATATTTTATGTATATACATATATACATAAAATTTTTATACCTGAAGTTCATGTATAGTCAATTGATATTTATGGAGAGCTGCTTGTACAGCACTTATAGTACTTTCAGCAAAAGCTGGAATGGTGTTGCTTCTTGTACCTCTTTTCGGTGATTTTTGAGGAATTGGTCCAGTAGGTGATAAATGAAGATGAGGAGGTGCTTGAGTAGATTCAATCTCGCGACTTTCTGCATCTTGAATTACAGCATGTGCTATATCTCTCAATGCAGATTGTAAAATTTCTATATCATCTTGTAAACGTGTATTGCGATGAATTTCCGTTTCTGCTTCTCCACATCTTTCTTCCTAAAATATAATCATTACTATTTTATATAAGTAGCTTATAATTATTATTTTATCTAAATATATTATTTAAATAATTACCAAATTGTGAACATCACGAATAAGTTGATTGATTTTTTCTTCCTTTATACGAATTTCATTTTGGGCTACATCATACTGTTGTTTAAGTGTTATTAATTCTGTTTTTAAATCAGTTGTTACCTGTTCCTGTGCCTGTTGAACTTGTTGAGATATCTAAAATATGATAAAATCATAACACAAATATTGAAACAAATTAAGAAAATAATATATATACCATTGGATGCATAGCTGCTTGCATTCTCATAGTAAATCCTGTATTATTACAAGCTGACGAAACATCATTAAAAGTAGAAATAATATTATTTTTCATTTTTAATAGATCTCTTTCTGTATTAGATTTTATCTCTGCAAATAATCGTTTAACAGAAACAACGTCACGCCAAAGAATTAATAATCTATTATGTTCTGAAGTATAATAATCATTAAAAGCTTGTTCTTCTTCTCTCCACTCTTCTTCTTTGATAGCTAATTCTTCTCTTAAAATATCCCAATCATTACTTAATTTTTGTAGATCATTTGTAAGTGCTTCATTTGTTTGATGAGATTCTTCTAACTGATCTTTCAATGTTGTATTTAATTGCAGCAATTTTTCACATCTTAAATAAGAAAAAAATAATTAAATATTTATTCTAATAATTTTCTCTCAGATATTTAAAAGAAAAAATAGTACCTTTTACGTTCTTCACTTAGCTTTTTTAAAGCAGTATCTAAATCATATATTTGTTCTTCACGTATTTCTCTTAGTGTCTGATGAGCTGCATCTAAAACAGAAGTTGTTGGAGGTGCAGAACTTACAACTTTATTAGAATCATATACTATAGATTCTGCCATTTGATTTTCTAATTCTGAACATTTTTGTTTATATTGCAATACCTAAAAATATTAAATCATTAATATATATTATATTGTACAATTTATCTAAAAATTTACAATATCTACTTTGGCTTGTAAACGTGAAACCAGAGCAGCCTGATGTTGTTGTGCTTGTCTATATGTATCCAAACGTCTTTTATAATTGGCTGTTTCTTCTTCAAGACGATGACGTAATTCATAGTTTTGTCTAACCAATGCATCTGGTGAAAGATCTTCTTCACTTAAACAATCTCCAGTTCCACTTAGTGTACTTCCTGTAGAATCCATTTTACTGCCTATGCCTCTCTCTATCTTCTTTGTAAAATTACATTATTGAAAAATTTAAATGAAAAATTTAAAATTTAAATTTATTAAAATATTTTTCAAATCGATACCTTATAAAATTTTTTAAATTTTTAAAAATTTTATATTATATTTACAAATTATAATTGCATAATAAGTTTATTATCACATCTTTATATAATTATAAAAACATATTATCTGTAACACAAAATTAAAAAATTAATTAAAAATTAATTAAATTTTAATAGATAATATTTTTTACCATATTTATTAAATATTATCTTTTTTAATTACATCATTAAAAGATTGCATAAATTTTTAATAAAATATAAAATAATATTATTATTTCTCATTTAGGTTATCTTTCTATTTACTATTGCTTAGTATATGTATATATATTTATGAAGATATATAAAATTATAAACGTACATAATCTGAAATTTCAATTTTTTTGAATTGATTATATTTACAATTACATTTCATTTATAAAAATTTAATTTATAAAATATAAATTAAATAGTGATCATAATAAAATCAACATTTTTTTTATTTTATTTCAATCCCAAATTATAATTTTTTAAATAATTGCTTAAAGAATTAAAATTATACTTTGTTACTTAAAATTATTTATTTTTAATTTTTAATTATAAATTTCTCCAAGTTTTCATTCAAGTTTCTTCAATTAACAATTTTCTTTTTTAATTTTGCATATTGAAAATATTTAATGTTAATAAAAAAAATACCTCTCTCATTCTACTAAGGCCTCTGAGAAACGGTGGTCGCCGCCTCTCCATCTGTCCTCTTGTTGATAATTGAGAAATATTTTTAGGCAATGGCTAGAACATATTTTTATATTATTTAAAATATTATCATCTTCCATTATTATATATTTATATTTATTTTTCCATAATTAAAGTTTACAAAATAGATTTGTTAGATTTGTTGTACATTAAATAAGAAAAATATTAATATATATCACTGAAACAAAGCAAAATAATTTATATATGATATTTTTGATGTGACTTTTTTTTTAACATGTGCATTAATGAGACAGAATACTAAAAAAATATATATTTCAAAAAAAATATATATTTCATATATATATATATGAAATATAAATAATGAAATAATCTTATATTAAATCCGCTTGATTTTCTTATAAAACTAATTAATAAAATATTTTTATTAATACAAAAATAATGCATTTCTTACTTTTTCTTTCTAATTTCCTATCCTATTATATCATGTTTTGATTTCTTTAAATGATTTCGAAAAATTGATATAATTCGCGCGAAAGATATAATCTCCAAGATTTTAAATTTTAAAATTCCCCAAACAGAATTTAGGGTATTTTAATTGCTTAAAGGATTGATAAAAAAACGAGCTGCATATAATCATACTTTCTGATTTTCTTTTTTTTTAAAGCTTTGTCGTATCCGATATCTGTGAGAAATAGAAGTAGAAGCAGAACTGCCAGGCACCGAATGGCACCAATCGATATGTATATGACCGAACTAACTTCTTGCGAGGATATCATCCTCTGAATATGTTATTTTAACTTTTCATACATATAATTTTGCTCACCAATTTGTTTTTAAAAGATTTTGAAGTGATCGGAACTAGTGATATCAGAAATTCGACTGATGGATCAAAAAACATTTCTTAGATAATGTTTCTCTTTTAATTTGAAGGTAATTTCGTTTTTCGTTTTTCTTTCATATTATTTTATTTTTTGCAATCCTTTAATATAATATTTAGTAACCAATATCTTATAATGTGAAAATTTTATTAAATATAAAAATATTTATGCGATAATCAAAAATTTCATTAGTTACAAAATGTTATTTCTATGAAATTGGATTAGAAAGTTAATATTTTTTTATATTTAATAATATTTCTTAAATAAATAATTAACTATATTAATTATATTAAAATATGTTATTTTAAATAAATACAAATTTTTATTTTAGAAATTATATTGCAAAAAACTAACTAGTTTTAAATTAGAAACTTCTTTTATTTTTAAATTCTTTTCTTTTTAAATATATCGCTAAACATATCGCCAAAAAGGTTAGGAAATATTATTCTAATAGAATATACAATATACATTCAATTAAACAAGATAGCAATCATTTTTCGAATTATTAGCATTATGTTTTATTATATGTAATAAATATTATATATAATAAATATATATATATAATAAAAAAACAATTTTTCACTTAAAACAAATTATTATTTGATTCATTATTACTTTTTTTATCTTGTTACAAACAATATTAAACAAAAATAAAATCGGTAATAATATAATATAAAAAAAACTTACTCATTTATCATAGCTATAAACAAAATATATGTAATTTAGACAATCTACAAAATACTACTTAAGATTACAATTACAAGATATAACAATATTACAAGATTATTATTATCTGTTATATATATAAATTTCATTATTTTTTTACTATTTTAAATAAAAACATAAAATCCCATTTAATTGTATCCCCTAAACTTGTATCTATTGAATCTAAATCCACAATTAAGATTTTGATCGGTGATTAGTTGGAAAATTGTATTATTGATATTAATGATATAAATTATTTGGAACTCACTTTAAACTATATATTTATAGCTAATGATAAACAGTAATCGATTTTAATAGTGATTAATATTAATAATACTAATTTAGAAAAGGATAGTAATTTAATATGATCAATCTCATATGCAAATCAATTTGAAAAATTCAATGTATTATACGCAGCATAAAAAGTCATTGTTTGAGCAACTCTTCCTGAGAAGTTCGCAACTGGACTAATAATCACAAGATAAATCGCTTCGAGTACATTCGATTTTCCTTGTCGATAGTAATAAATTAGATCGTGCTCGTACGTTGAACGATATTTAAAAGTTTTTGAACCACGACAATTTGTTTGATCACGTATCCTAGTTTGAAGGATGATATTGATGTTCAGTTTGAAACTCGGGATAATTACTCGTCATAATTACAAGATATCAGGAAACAAAAAAAATAAAATTTATGGAATTTAACGACGGTTTATTTTAAATAAAATTATTGTAATTTTTGATTATATTCAATACGATATCGATGTTTTCAATTATTTGTATTAGAAGTATGATTACATATATCTGTTATTTCAAAAAATTAAAAATGGATAAAAATTGAAAGACTTTTTTTTAATTTAAAAAAATTGATTTGAATTAAAAAAAAGAAAAGTCTTTCAATTTAGCTAAAAATTTAATCAAAAGAAGTTTCTAATTTAATTAGAAGAAAAAGTCTAGTTTGATATTAGATAATACTTTGATACATCCTAGAAATATGACATTTATGGTATTATCACTTTTCGTATATAAAAACATAAAATAAAAATAATAAAACATTAATAAAACATTTTCATCGTTAATAGAAATAGTTTTGTTGGAATAATTATATATGGTATAAAAACTTATGTTATCCGATTACTACAAATTGTCAAATCTGTAATCGGTACATGATTGTCGAAGTTTAAACTATGTCAGACGAAGAAAATGAGTGAACCGGATTAAACTACACACTTGCATATCTGAATAAGTTTTTACAGACAGTGGTTCCGTGGGTCATTGAGATTTCACCTCTTCCATCATATTCTTCTCTTTTTCTTCACGTTATCCCACTACTGATAATATTGTATGTATACATACGTATGTAGCTTTTCGTTGTTCTTCCATGGAGGGATAGGTTAGGATTCATTTTCTTCTTTGTCTCTTTTTTTTTCTCTCAGTCAATATTATATATAATATTAAAATCGTTATTTTTTTCCTTAATGTTATTACCATATATTATTATGTATTTGTTGTTTAAAATATAATAATGAAGAATATCAAATATCGACAAAAAAAATGAGAGCGTTTTGGTAATTGAAAAGATACAAAAGTATTGGTTTTTTTTAGCACTATCGATACCCCGATAATGACATATTTTGAATCATTCGATTTATTTTAATAATTTTTTCTTCTTTCGTAAAAAATATCAATTGGTCATTGTATTTTTATTTATGATGCAATTTTGAAAAGAAAAAAAAAATAGTAATAATTCTACAACAATTAGATATCTGATATCAAAGAATCAGATACTAAATGATGACTAAAATACAATTGAACAATTTTAAATATATATTATCGAAAAATTAATTACTGCATATGAGAAATGGTGTGAAAATAATACAACAGAAATTTTCTTCAAACTTTGCGGGTAAATGCATCGAATAAGCATAGCGTGAGAGAATTCAGGCTTGTTGCACGAAAATTCACGGTCACATAGTTTCACAAAGAGACACTTATGGTTGTCCTTGACCATATGTGAATGAATTTCAATTACATTTGAATACCGAATTGATTCATAATTTATTACATTGATGACAAAAAAAAAGAATTCATAGAATTAAAAAGAGAATAAAAATTTATTTCTTTATTTTTGACATCTAATCTTAGCAGATTCAAAAGAAATTTTCTAATATTGTAAGAATACAATAAGTAAAATTGCAATATAAATAAAATATATGTTATTGCTTATTTTATTAATAACATTAATAAAAAATAACAAAAATAAAAAAAATGTTTAAATAAATATGTATCACTAATCGATTTTAATAATGACAATTATTTATTGTATAATTTATATAATCTTATTATCAACTTTTTATTAAGTCTTTACATATATATATATATATATATATATATATATATATACTTCTAAAAGTAATCACAATTTCTATTTAATCCAGATATGGATTATACTATTAAAAGAGTTATCAGCGAATAATTGTAGAATTTAATAAAAAAATGTATGAAAATATTATCGAACGCGGTTTCGTTCTAAACGCAGACATAATGATAAATAATGATTTACAAGTGAAAAAAAAAATGATAAAATGCATATACTAAGATTAGCAATGGTCAATGTACAAATAAATATTAGATTTCGTGCATGAATTCATATTTGGACTATTATCAAAGCGTCATCTTGAACTTTTCTAATATTATTCAGATAATTGCATTATTCCAAAGATCGAAGATTACGTCTTCTTATTTCTTTGTTGCATCTTCGTTATGGATCATTAAAGAAACAAGCGTGCAAATGCAGGTTATATTTATAACACGTCATCGGATAAAATTAATATACCACTATATCAAAAACTCATTAACTAATAAGAACAGGGAGACGTGACGAAGCGAACGTTTTGCCGGGGAAATTACCACGGTCAATGTTCATCGTTCGTCCGGTTCACGTGCTAAGCGATACGATTCACGCAATGTGAAGAAACGATTGCGATATTTAATCAAAAAATATGAACCGATTACATGTGATTAATTCTTTTCAAATTGATTTAAATTTTTTTTCGATTTTTTTCTTCTTCCTTACTACCATTCTTCTCATTTTTTTCTATTTGAACTCCATCTGAAATAGAATAATAGTGATAAAATATAAAAAAAGATTAAAAACATAAAATTACTGTATTAAAAGGCTATAAGTTATTAATACAAGTGAGAGATAATATATATATTATATATATATCAGTTTCTTTTTTTATTTTGAATGAAATGTGCAAACATAAGAAAAACAAAAACTATTTATAATAAAATGTTACAATGATTACGTTAAGTAATATCGATTACTTTTTAAAGGCGACATTATTGATTGCGTATATAAAGCATATTTTGCATACTCATATTTTATTTATTGATGAGAATCTTTCTTATGGCACACAATATCATGTATGTAATTTTGAATTATTATATTTATTATATTATATTTTCCGATGACAATTTCTTAGAATTTTTTTTTCTTTTTTGATTATTCAAGAATATTCGAGATAGACACATGTTTGTAAGGAAAAAAAAAATATAGCTTTAAGAAATATGTGATACGAAGTCTCGATAAGCCAATCAGCACGTGGTAAACTAGTGAATTTCTGTGACACGTGATAGAACCAACCCTAATCATGAAGTCCGGGCAAATTATTATAATCGAACACGTGTCACCCCTTCACCAATGCGTCATACTTCTGCGAAACTGGCCACTGGTCAAACCATAAAAAAATCATTATTTATTCCTACGTAAATTAGAAATAGCATTTTTAATCATTTTACAACTTCACCATCATTAAAAATATAAATAACATGTAAAAGATTTGACAAATTAAATAAATTTAATAATCAAACAAAATTAATGATAAAAGTTTGAAATTAATTTATAAATTAAATTCTAAAAATTAAATTCTAAATTCAAATTTTTTAATTTAAATTTTTACAATTACCAATTTAAATAGTTAATTTAGACAAAGATAGAAAAAAATCAGAGATCATTATCTGTGAAACGATGGAAACATGAGAGTATCAGTCGAGTTCGTTTACTCAATTCTATATAGTATCGACCAATGCACTACATTTTAGTTAATGGAAGGAATCAATCAATTCTTACCGTCTACAAAACCAGTAACGCTAATTATCTCATTTCTCCAATGCCGAGTTTATTGCACCTGGAAATCCCTTGAAACGATCGAAGATTTTGTTGATTAATTGCGTGGCAAACCCTATCGAGACTACACTTCAGAATTAATTTCACTTTGTGCAACGCAATCAAGTTACAATGTAGGATTTAACTCATTTTCCATAGTAACATGTATTACGTATTAGTCTTTAAATTTATTTTTTTTTATTTTTATAAAAATAATATATATTATTCATGAACGTGTTTTATAAATAATAAAAAAATAAAAAAAAAAATAAAATTTTATACAAAATTTCATAAGAAAATTAATTAAATATAAAAAGTATATCGGGAAAAAATTAAAACAGAATTATAAAATCAATATTTGATTAATTATTAGATTAATTAATGATTTTTTTTCATTGTTTTTTCATTTTTTTTCAAAATTAAATTTTTAGCATTTTTTCAATTATTAAAAATATGATACGAAAAATAAAGATATAAAAAAAAATCCTGAAAAATATGAAAATAAAAAAAAAAATTAAAAAATTTACTAAAATTTTGTTCTACCAATAAAAAAAAGATTTAATATTCACTTGTTTAATATTTTAATATATACTGTGTTGATTATAACATTGAAGAATGAAGGATTAATTGCATGATATACATTTAAACCTGGATCAATTCGCTAATAAATCATCGAAGAAAACAACATAAATAAATATAAAGATCTTAATGGACGTCCATATATAGGCAAATAAAATTGTATGTTCTAATCTCGATTATTTTTCCCGCAACAACTCACCCGTGACATCTTGGCTTAGCAATAAGATGACGAATATCAACGATAACGGCCGTTGGACGGAGGATGGCTGGCGGCGATACAGTTTCTCCAGGGCCTCTTAGCACCCGACGAGGTTAGGTTTGGATACGCGTTCGACGCGGGCGAATGGCTGGCCTTCACTGAACCACCGACGACGCCGACCTCGATGTCGGCATTGGTAAAACGGCGTCGGCGTCGGC